GAAGACCAGATGTGCTCCCAGTGCTGTAAGCGTGAGCATTACCTCAGCACATTGGATTGCAGACCAACTGCATCTAGTGGACATCTAGCATTACAACTGTGTCAAGGTTTTCACGTGTGTTCGCATATTTGTCCTCAGCTCGCTCTTAGCCCATGACTACACATACACCACGAGTTCAACCTCTGCTGTGATGTTGTCACAATAATCTGGACTTAAACCCAGTAAAAAGCAGAGAAGCAATGTAGACTTCAGAAAACTGAAGCATACTGAGCGCTCTGCTTCAGGCGTACAGGTGGAGGAAGTGGAGAGCTTTAAGTTCCTTGGTGTGCACATCCTGGTCGATCTCACCCACACCACACGTATCTCCCATCGGCTGGGGAAAGGCTTTACATCCTTAGGAAGTTAAAGATTCTCTCTCATCACCTGCTGACCAGCTTCTCTCAGCCAACAATAGCGGGCCTCGTCATCTAGTGCTGCATGGTGTGGTTCATCACAAGCAGAAAAGACCTGCATGGGTGGTTCCAGACGTGTGACACTATCGCTCGGTGAGATTTACGCAGGATGAGTGCCAAAAAAAAAAGAGCCACCTGTAAGTTTAATGGATTCATCATCTACATCACCCGAAGCAATGCCACAGTCCTCTGGAAATAGAACTCAATCAGAAGCAGAACTCACAGATTACAAATTACAAAACAGCTTCTTCAAACAGGCAGTCAAATACATGCCCCCCCCCCTTCTCCTATTCTACTGCAATAAACCCCTACCCCGAGAACTACAAGTGCATTAACCCCTGTCCCTCTCATTCTTCATTTTCTTTTTGCACTGTATATTATAATCATCATGCACTATTATTTTGCATATACTACCTCGCTGTTTGTATCTTTATATTTTCATATTAATGCTCTTGTCTGTTTTGATGTTGCCACTTTTATGCTTTTATGTGCACATCACAGATTTATTGTTGTACAAGTGTTCATCCTGCAAATCTTTCAATTTCAATTCTGTTTAGCCCCTTAAAAAATAATTGTTATTATTTATTTCTTATATTATAGGAAAATATCAGATAGGTCCAAATGAATGAGATTGCCTCAAATGTTCAATGATAGAATAAAGGTTCATTAAAATAAGTATGTTTGTAAAAAAAAAAAAAAAAGCAGTTGTAAACATTAGAATGACACCATCACCTTTTCAAGATCGTTTCAGAGCTCGTGAAACATCTGGCAGGAGCTCCTTTGTGTTACTTACCTGGTGATGTGACGATTGTTCTCTTCAAAAACAGATCTTTGGTGCTCTTTTATTTTGAGGTTTTCCCCCAAACTGACTGTAGAGGGCAGCATGTCCCATCCCAGGATACAGCCTGGCGGTCTTTCAGCAGAAGAAGAAGAAACGATTTTTGCCCGGGTTGCTAAAACATCACTTTTATGTTATAGACGTCGGTCAAACCAGCGCTAAATGATTTGTTTTTTGCTAAGAAACGGCCTAACCTAA